CTGCTGCGCGCAGTCGATCACCGCCCCGTTGGGGCTTAGCCAATCCTTACCTATAATAACCTTGTTCCCCCGCAACGGTATGGGAACCAAATCTACCAGGTAGCGCTCCTCGAACAATCTCAAGACACAATCTCTGAAAACCTCTGATGCTCGCACTGACCGGTCGTCCGCAATCTCGACCACTAGGGGGCAATCCAACATGCTCGAGGACTCAGGAAACCTCTTGCTAAGCGCAAGAGAGAAAAACGATCAGGTAGCACCCGAATCAAACAACACCTGAATTGGAATACCGTTCACATGGAACGATCCTAAACAGAGCACATATATATAACATATCAAAATCATAGCGACATAACATAAAAGATTTGAGAGAATAAATCATACCCGTCACCACAACGGGTGCGGCGCGTGCCTCCTCGGCTGTCAACTGAAATGCTCGGCTCCGCACCACTGGAGCCTCTGTCTTGACCTTCTGGTCATCCGCAACTCGTGCTGTCGCTGGAGTCGGCGCCACTACCGGCGCTGTTGCTGATGCTGCTGTCATTCTAGGGCAGTTGGCCTTTTTATGGCCCCTCTGATTGCAATGGAAGCAAATCAGGTCTGATGTCTAAACTGTGGAGGTGGGGCGGTACAATCCCTGCCAAAGTTCCCCGTCTTGCCGCACTTGTATGTAACACTGGTGTTTCTAGCCTAAGCATTAATATTAAGGTGATAGTCTAGGTTAACCTTTGTAACTCATTTTGAAGAAATGAAAAAGGAATTATATGAATTCTATGTGTTTTATGTGTTTTATGCTTAATTACTAGCAGTTAATTAATTAAGAATAAAAATGAGCATCGAAAATAAATTTTAGATAAAGCCGATATCTATTAAGAAAGTTGTAGTGGTCGTGACAAGGATTACAGATATATAAAGAATGCCGAAATCCGAGTTATAACGAAGAAGTTATGACCTGTCGAAGTTTCACGACAAAACCGGCTCAGTGCTGAATGTCGTAAAAAGTGAGTTTTTGATAAACTACTTTTTAGCCTTAGTAATCTAAACGAAACTCGTAGTGTTCGTTAAACTGAGAGTAGGTATAAAAAGAACGCCTAAATTTGACTTCGTATGAAGAAGTTATGATTTTTCGAAGTTTCAGCTTAGCAGTAGACAGCTAAAAACTCGAATTTTAGATCGAGTGATTTTTATCCGACACGAACTAAACGAGAATTGAAGGCCTCGTAAATAGTAGCACAACGGTAAAAAGTCTGATGAAAACGGACGTCGGATGAAGAAGTTATGAATTTTTAACGGATTTCCTGTCCCGGTCTGTTAAAAATAATAATATAAAATTTAAAATCAAAATTATCCGACGAAGTCTAAACGGAAGTTGTAGAACGTAATTTTACCTACGCGTGCATATAAAGAACGTCAAAAACGGAGCTCGTATGCGAAAGTTATGAAATTTAGAAGTTTTGGCACGAAAATCGAGAAAAATTGCTAAAACCGAGAAATTTCGCATGGTGGACTTCGGCCACCTCACCCTCGCTTACAATGTGCCACGTGTCCGAAAAAGTGCTGAGTCATCCGAGCTGCTGAAGCTGATCCGAAGTGGTCCACTGAGAAGGCGACACGTACCCTCTTCCCTCGTGTCCGAACCCTCGCATGCTGCCACGGAACCCCCTACTTCGGACCTAGGCCTCGGTCCAATCAGGAGCTGCCAGCAGCCACTTCGCACACGCAGCCCTCGTGCGAGCCCTCCCCTGCGAGCCTCGGATCTTCGCCACCTGGAGGCTTTTCAGCCGTCCGATCAGAAGCTTATCCCTATAAATAGAAGGTTGCGAGCCTTCTCGGATTTTTTAAGAAATTGCCACTTTTAGCCCCTCTTTCCATATTTTCTTCATTTTAACATCCCCCAAAGCCCCGGTATCGATTATAACCCCCGGAATACGCCACGAAGTGCCCGAGAAGCCCGGAAAATTTATCTTTTCGGTTTCGAAGCCCGACCTTTGCAGAGCGCGGTTTCTCAATAAAACTCTCGGTTTTATTAGAAACGAACGTTTTAGGAAACGAATTGCTGCCCGATTATCATCAAATCATGTGAGTGTGTAGTTACTTTCACTTTACACGTAGATATGAAGTATTTTAGCTTAAAATACATGCTATGTGTAAATATGTTAATTGTTTATTTGAGGTGACTGTTGAATTGATGTTTTATACAAGTTTTAAACTGTATATGTATTTTATCTACAAATATGTTGGGTAGAACATGGGTAGACAAAATAGTCGGTGGGTGTTAAAATGATGAGAGGCCTCGGTGTCGGTGTTGTTGTTGGTGTTGTCGTTGTAGTCTTCTAGCGGAGTATAGATGACGATCACGGACCTTTCTAGACAGTCCAGTGGTACACTAGCAAGTTCGCAACTTGTAGGTGTTGATGAACTAAATGTTTATTGGTGTACTCCAATCCCCCTCATGGTTGCCTATAGGACATGTATGGCTGAGGAGTCCCCTTAGCAGTAGTGTCCATCCCGATGATATTCCTTAGGCTAAGTCCCTTGTGTTAGGTGTTTAGGGACGTAAAGTGAGGACAATGGGAATGGGTAATCAGGGTTATTGTTGATTGGTGAACTTAATAAGTTATTATTATTGTGGGTTGAAAACCCTATATGCTCACCAGGCTCCCAAGCCTGACCCACTCAGCTTTTTATGATTACAGGTAGTGGACCCCGAGCATAGTCGGAGGATGATGAGAGATTTTTGGATTATAGGCTAGTAGTTGTAAATAACTGTAGTAAGGCTTATAATGTCTTGTTTATGCTTTTGATCTGTATCGGAACATGACATCCCGAGGTTTTGATATATATGGAAAATATATACCTTCTTAAAAAAGGGTTTTGATAAACTTTTATCATATGTCGTTTTGGGGACCATTTCCGCAACATCTTTTGAAAAGATTTCTCTGATTTTATTTTAAAAAGCATAAATTAAATCGGTCTTTTCTGGCCGAGAAATTAGGGGATGTCACATTGTAGCAGCCTGACGACCCCGCTCTACAAGCTCCCTCATGCGGCCTGCCGCATTTCCTACAGCGGCTCTGGCCCGGCTGGCCCTTCGACCTAACGTCGGATCCCTTGTGTTTCTTCCCCGAAACCCCTGTAACCTGCTCAATCTCTGCCTTCCTCTTCCTGATGTGCTCCAAATCAATCTCCATTTCCCGTGCCCTGGCAATCATGGACTCCAGGGTCGGGCAAGCTGAATAGCTGACATGCTCCCGGATATCAGCCCTCAACATATCATGGTACGGGGTCTTCCGCATCTCCTCATCCCCCGCATACTGAGGTACTAACAAGGCCCTCTCCCTGAACTTGGCGGTGATCTCCGCCGCTATCTCGGTCGTCTGTCTCATATCAAGAAACTCTCTGGCCAGCTGCTGAAGCTCCACAGTTAGCGCAAACTCAGCCCTGAACCTGGTCACAAAGTCTGACCAAGTCATAGCCTCGATGGTTGGGGCTCCCAGTGAGTCACCAACTGACTCCCACCAATCCCTAGCTCTATCCCTCAAACATCCTGCAGCAAAGCAGACCTTCGACCCCTCTGGGAAGAAGCTCGTCAACTGCACAGACTCAATGTCTACGATCCATCTCCTGGCAGCAATAGGGTCCTTCACCCCGTGAAAGTCCGGCGCACCACTCCCCCTGAAGTCCTTGAAGGACAGTGTGCGCGTACCCGACTGGCTGGATGTCGAGTCCCTCCTGAATGTCTGGAGGCGATCCTCCATCAACTCGATAATCCCCTCCTTGATCGACCCGAAAATGATGGGGGTCGACTCAAGGATACCTCTAGTGATCGCAGACGCAATGAACTCACGTAAACCGTCATCAACCTGCTCGGATCCCGCACCCGAGCCTGATCATGATCCTGAACCTCCTACTCCATGTCACGTGGTCACCATACTGAAAATAAACACATAAACGTCAGGATCATACATACTCTCGAGAGGTCTCGCACACTCTCCAAGTTTCCTGGTTCCATCTTGGCCCTCCTTGACTCGAGTACGGATCCTCTGCTTCCAGTAGTACGGGCCCATACTACCTTCCACATATATTCGTACTTTCCTCAAGGATTGCTTCAACTTCACCAAGTCCCTTACGAACAATGCTTTCCAACTAACCTCATCCTAGACTTTCCTAGGGCACCCTCCGACCTACTCTCCGCCATCAGCTGCACTAAGGGTCCATACCCACTACTAGAAAACAGCCCTTTAATGACGCGCAAACAATGACACGCGCTGATAGAGGACGCGCATTTGTGCGTGCCCTAAAAAATAATTTCAGTTTTGCAAAATTTGAAGGATAGAGGACACGCATTTGTACGTGCCCTAAAGTTAATGTCCAACGAAAAAAATTAAAAACACAGAAGGCACATAAATTTAAGTGGGTGTCGTGTAGAGATGTCGCTTTATAAAATTTTAATACGCGCGTCCCTCTTTCATGAAACTAAGGGGGGAAACCAAATCCCAAAAAAATTCAAGTACCCCCGCCTTCCCCAAAAATCGAACCTTACAATATCTTTCATGGAGTCGACGATTGGGGGTCTACGACTCCTCAAACTCGAAACGCCGGCGATTTTAAGGCTTTTCTTGTCCCCGATATCAAAGAAGAACTAGGTTTTTACTTTTTATGCTCTGGACCTCACAAGTGCGCACCCATGAAGTAGGGCTTTTATTAGCCAATCACATTCATTTTCACTGTTGTTGGTTCATTAGCCAATCGCCAACCACTGCTCGCAGCACTTGGCCATCGTCAGTTTGCCGTTTCCGTCGACGATTATGCCAAGAGAAACCACGCCAACAATGTGTCTGAATACAATACCATCATTGGATCTCTCACTTCTCAAAGAAGGTATGTCTCTCGCCACTCTTTTTCCATTTCTTACTTAATCAACAGCAGCACACCCTTTTTCACTCCACTCTTTCTCTCTCTACAAACAACCAAGAAGCAGCAGCAGCAGCACAAGAAAGATGGGCGAAGGAAAAGGATCATCCCTAGTTCATCTTCTAGTTATCATCTTATTCTTAGTTGCTTTTGGTTTCGCCATTGCCGCCGTAGCACTGTACTTTCTCTTTCTCTCATCTAAATTTGAACTGTTTATGTTGATTTCATCTGTAAGCTAGGGTTTTCTGCTCGATTCCTCTGTTCACATTGATTTTCTCATGTTTGGCACATGATTGAAGGTTGAAGGAGCCATGGAACACTCGTACAGCTACTATTCTGGTTATAATGTGATAGACCAGGTATATTCAATTTCTCAACTAGAATGTGTGTGTTTGTGTGTGTGTGTGTAGTGAAGTTAGTTACATGAATTTTGTTCATTTTCTGATGTTGTTCCTAATTTTTGAAGGCTTCTGGAGCTTATATCTTCCATCCTAATGCCACATTTCCAATAAAATCTCAAGGGCAGGTAAACCATACTCTTTTGGGGTAGTTATCCACTACTGTTGTCTGTTGCAAGTGACTAATGATTTCTTTTGTTACAGAAAGCTTTTACTATCGTAAGGGGTCCACTAATGGATGAAGTGCACCAATAGTTAAACTCATGGATATATCAGGTCACCCGTGTATACAAGGAGAAGGAACATGCTGAAGTTGAGTTTATAGTAAGAATTATATTCCCTTTTTGATTTAATGTAGTTGTAGTAGTTTCTTGTTGACACTTGACCAGAATGTGTGTGTATGTGTGTGTGTATATTCTCTAATTACATATCTTATTTTTGGTACTATCAGATTGGACCTATCCCTATAGATGATGGTGTTGTGAAAGAAATAACAACTCAGATCACAAGTGCCTTGAAGACAAACAAAACATTCTATACGGATTCTAACAGGAAAGACTTCATTAAAAGGGTATATACTTTATAGATGGCTGTTTATGTACTTGTCTCTCACATGATAAAATTTACTGTTTTGCAGGTTCGTGATTTCAGAACAGATTGGGAGCTGCAAATGAATGAACCAGTTGCTGGAAATTATTACCCTGTACGTGTTCACATGTCATCATTGTAGTGTGTTTTATGAATAATGTAATAAAATGACTTGGTTAGATAAATCTTGTATGATCCAATAATCTTTTTTTCTTTTTGGCTACATTACCTAATATTTTTCTTTTTGTGCTTTATTTGTATGATCAATTCTGCAGATGCTCATTATGAAGATTCGTGTAAGTATTAGTTCAAGCTCATTATGATTTTCTTGAAAACATTGATGTAACCTTTGTTCATTTTTCAATCTGAATGACTCTACTTTGTATTTTATTTATTTGTTTTTGTTTTATCAGAAGGTTGGAATTGAACTGATTGTGGACAAGGGAGAATTTCCTGCGCACCAATGTGCAAATGTATAGTGGCAAATAAGTGCATTGATTTACCTTCAGAAACAAATGTTGAATGCCTCTAGTCAGGCCTTATGGATTATGACGCAGCAGCAGAAGACCAACCTTGTCTTCAGGCTTCAGTTGACTTCACCAAACATAGTTTAGGTACATTACCTAATGCTCTGTGTATCTATGTTAAACAATTATGGACACAAGGAAATCATTACGAATCTTCAATTAACCAATAAAATATACTCCATTACTGAGGTATATCAGATATGCATGAGAAAGACACAACAAACTGCATTCAGATCTTTATTAAGATAAAAAAAGTGATGAAAAATTGCACAAGCATCATTTTGAAGAAGCTAATCAAGTCTTGGATAAATTTGGATTGGCTGTAGAAAAATCATGAAGTTTTTATGGATTTATATGAAGCTCATTTTGGGGATTTTTACATTTTTTTATTTGAAAAAATGTGACTAATTTTCGGGATTTTTTACTCTGGCAGTGGCAGTTCAGGTGTCCTTTTTGTGAAGAACAAGATAGAAAACTGGGGACAAAGAAAAGAAGTCAGGTGTATGTTTATTAAGTTTGAGAGAGGGTATTTTTGTCATTTTATCTCAAATAGTTATAAGCCATTTTACGTCAGGTTTTTTGAAAACTACTAATATTATTAGTAGTGACGAAATGATAATTTTATAAGTTAAACTTATTGACTTCTAAAAGAATCTAATAAGTCAATTAATCCTTTCAATAGTAAAAACTCTTAATTCCTTGTAACAATGCATTTCATAGGCTGTTTTTTTTTTATGTTTTTAATCTTTATTGGGTATTAACAGGTTTATTCAGAGGTGTTATCGCTAATTGAGTTATGCAGAGTGCAGCTGAAAGTAGTTCAGTTGACGGGTGAACCAAGTTTCTCTGAAATGGTTAGTTTTTCTAAATTTTTATACAAAATCCAATTATGTTCTTCAATATTATAAAGTTCAATGGTAAATTGGTAATTTTTGCTTTTGTTTTCCAATTTTTTAGGTGACAGCATTGTCAGGGCCTCCTCGTATCTTTGTTTCTACTCCAGCTTGTGTCCAAAGATGTCTTTCATCAGGTGTTCTTCAAGCAAAATCCGTTCATGATTCTCTTTAAATTCTTATTCTTGATGAGGTATGAATTCTTTTCTTTCTGTAAAATTTATAATATTCTTTATTAAAGTACTGATTCATGTTAGTAAATCAGGCAGATCTTCTTTTTACATATGGATATGAAAAGAATCTCAAAGATCTCAAAAACTCACATTCCTAAAAGATGTTAATGCCTTCTCATGTCTGCTACCTCAAGGTTTGTTTGTGTCACTATCACTTCTTATAAGATGGTATTTCCATTTCTACCCCTGCAATTTCTTCATTCAATTCATTCTGATGAAATTTTTGCAGTGATGATGTTGAAAGCTTGAAGAAGCTTTATCTACACAATCCCTATATTCTTACTTTACCAGAAGTTGGTGATGGAAAGGACGAAATTGTCCCCAAAAATGTTCAGCAATTTTGGGTAAGAGCTTAAGAGCTAAAATCTTATATACTTATTTAACAAACTTCTTTTAGGGCATTTCTTTCATACATTTTATAGTTTCTTGAATCTTTATTTATTTATTTTACTTTTATATTTAGATACAATGCAGTTATCGAGATAAGCTACTTTACATTCTTGCAATTTTGAAGTTGGATCTTATTCAAAAGAAAGTCTTGATATTTACAAAGACAGTTGACACAAGTTTTAGATTAAAACTTTATCTTGAGCAGGTATTATTTTTCACATTAAATTAATCTTTTTTTTTGTACCTATTATAGATTTTAATAAAACTTTTTATATATTTTTTGACAGTTTGGTATAAAATCTGTTGTGTTAAATGCTGAATTGCTGTGAATTCACATCTACATATTTTTGAGGTATTATTCCCTTTGAATTTTCTTGAAGTTTTTATAATTCTATATAATGTTTTTTAGGGTTTTGGTTCTTAAATGAATAAAGAAAACAAGTTTCCTAGGCGGGAAAGAAGCAGACATACTTGCTGGTAAGATGAGTATGGTACAGTTGCAAGGGCGGGACCAGTTGCTGACAGCACAAAACGAAATGCTCAGGTACTCTACTCTACTGCTTCATCAGATATGTCTGCAAGTATGGTTGGCTGTTTCTCTTATTACAGATGCATTGGCTGCATCTGGTCAGGTATAAATTCACCAATGTTGACTTTGACTTGACTTGACTTGACTTGACATATAGTTTAAGGAAAATGTTTGACTATTTGTCAATTAGTTGACTTCTTAACCATTTTTTTGTTTTGTTGTGTTTTAGGCGTTGATTGCTAGTTCGGTTTCAAAAGGGGAATATAGATCCATGAAGGATATCACATACTTTGTGTTGACTGTAATGTTAATTAATAATTATTTTCTTTATGTAATATATAAAAATGTTTTTATTTTATAAAAGTTAATGTTTATTATTTTCTTTAGATTGGTTTTGTGATGGGTGTTACTTTGGCTGCAATATTGGGAGTTTCATTTGGTTCCACAGTCACACTGCTCACTAAGGACATTGGAGTATTGGCGATTGCTAGAACCGGGGTTTTGGTAAAATCCCTATCATACCCTTGTTGTTGTTATTATATATATATATATATATATATATATATATATATATATATATATATATATATATATATATATATATATATTTCTGATGCGTTTTGTTTTTGTGAAAAAAGTTTGTGAGTGCTAGTCAGCCTTTGAATGCTTTGGCTTTTATTGTTGATGGTTTGCATTATGGAGTTTCAGACTTCCCGTATGATGCTTATTCCATGGTATTCTTTTTTTTTAGACATGAATATAAAATTACGTATTTGCCCTTGGATTAATATGTTTTTCACTGTAGATGCTTGTTGGGATTTTATCGTCTGCTTTTCTTTTATATGCTCCCTCGGGTTTTGGTCTTCATGGTGTTTGGTCAGGTTTGACTCTCTTCAAATCTGACCGGGTGGAATAGTAAAAAATGAGCTACCGGTGGAATTGTAAAAAATTGTTTCCTTCTTTTTCTTTTATCGATGAAGTACATGTTGCTCTTTCTCTCTCGGATATAGCAGTTGCATCAAAGCTTTTTGCTGCCATGGATCCAGATCAGGTACTTCCTCTTGACCAGATGTACACTCTTTAATACAATATGTAACAACCATTAGGATGAAAGTAGGGACTAAATGTAGAGTTATTGAACATATACTGGTTATTATAGCAATCTATTATCCAGATACCGAACAAAATATCGAATCTATGCATCAACATTTCAAATTTGACATACAACCCTTTAGTCGTATTGGGACGAACAAAAAGATTCATTACAATTATGAGATCAGGAACAAGACAACCAGAGTCATTGTTTGATGTTTGTCTTTTGTCCATGTTTGCTTTATTTTATGTCCCCACATTCTAAAGTTTATAATTAAATAACCACGAAAATAATTATTTTGGAATGTTAATGTTGCCAAATGAGTAGCCTGGTTTAGAAACATCACAAGTGGATGTTACGCCTTTTCACTTCCCATGTTGTTGGTGGAAACTAGCTTGTGGTGCAAATAGCCAAGGATTTTAAGGCTTGTGTATGCAAACTCGGGGACTTCAATACTCCCACTTGCTTATAAGGTACTTCTAAAGTTTGTTGATTGTGTGATTAATAAAAGTTATTTTGTTTCAGCTAATGCTTCAAGCCCTTACTTGCTATCCATGCCCGGTGGACAGCCGCCCATGACACCCAATTTAACATTTTTACATGGTACACCAGGTGGCAAACCAATGACACGAAGGATCAAGTTATATAGTTAGGGATGTAGTATCATGTTATATAGTTAGGCAAAACCTCTTAATAACAATGTACTATTAGATCCCCTTAATATCAATGTATAATAATTTTTTGATAACTTGTTTGACATGATGTTATTGGATGAAATTGATTGTTTTGGTACATATTTGTTTCCATATTTTTGTATTATGCGTAAATGAGAATACGCGTCGTAAATGTATATCGTAAATGGTTGCTGAAGTTTATGACACGCAAATGCGGGTCATCTTCTTTTATGACAAGGGCTTTAATGATACGCAATGTGTGTCCTAAACCCGCGTCATAAGGTTACGACACGCAAATGCGTGTCGTCTTCCTTTATGAAAGGGCCTTCCTTGATACGCATTGCGTGTCGTAAATGAGCGTCGTAAATGCGTGTCATAAATGCGCGTCGTCTATAGACGACGCGCAAAAGCGTGTCGTCTCTCGTTATGACAGGGCCTTTCTTGACACGCATTTGCGCGTCGTCTGAGCGTTTTACGACCCGCATTGCGCGTCGTAAAAGTCTGTTTTTCTAGTAGTGACCACCTTTCCCTAACTAGCTTGCGAATATTGTTACATATCCGCTTACTAGTTAGTTAAAGTTAGCCAGAACCCCTATAGCACAAAGCAAGCAGCATTCGTGCATTGAGTAACCAAATCAAGCATAACCAAATCAGGCTATGACTCTGCTGACTAACAGCTCTAATATTCAGCTCAGTAGGCTGCTACAACAGGCAAACAAGTCATCCTTCCTAGATCCTTAGCCCTATTCTAGCATGCAGTTCTCATAAGCACATACATGCATACAAGACATCCTCCCTAGATCTGTAGCCCTATTCTAGCATGCAGTTCTCATAATCATATCATATAACATAACATAACAAGTATGGGTATCTTGGGGAAAACTTACTTGAGCTCGGCTGGTCGCACGCATCACACACCTTATTTTTCTCGAAAATCCTTAATGTAGATTTTATAAAACTATATTTTTTTTTTTTGCAAAAATTTTTCAAGCCCTCGGTTTGAGTCCACACACCCCCGAGGGTGTGTCCGAATCCCTCAAACCAAGGCTCTGATACCAGCTGTAACATCCCAATTTTCGAGGCCAAAAAAATTCATTTTTAATTAAGCAATTTATAAAATAGTTTACCAAAACATTGTGAATGTTACATCACTTCATAAAAACTATAATATTGTGTCTCAAAACCAAATCATCAAAAGTAATGAAAATCAGAGTACAATCCCAGAACACTCTATGCGGAAATCATTGTGTGTGATGCGCTGCTACACCGCCGGCTCCTTCCCCTTGGACGAAGCGGTACCTGAAACCAAAACTGAAAATGTAAGCACAAAGCTTAGTGAGTTCCCCCATCATACCACATACCAAATAACATACATATTATCGGGCAATTCCGGGGTGCCCGACCTACCCATGTCAAGCCGTTCTGGGGTGCTGACCTACCCATGTCAAGCCGTTATGGGGTGCTGACCTACCCATGCCAGGCCATTCTGGAGTACCGACCTACCCTCCGGTCTATTTCAATCGGTCACGGGGACTGTTTCACCCCCTACTGCTAGCATATAATATCATATCATAATCATGCTGTCAGACATATCTGGGGCGTCCGACCTACTCATTGGTCCTAGCGACCAAATCGGGGACTAGTCCCCTCCTATCGATACTATCACATATAACACTTCATGCAATCATACACACATATCAATCATACTAAACCAGACGGTTATCACAAAGATAATCGTCTCAACTAAACAACTACTAGTGGACCGGCCTTGGTGCCTTGGACCCACTTCTAATGGAAGGTAACTCACCTCGATATCGTGTAGTGTCTGAACTGTCCTCGGCATGAAAATCGACTCTCCTCGACTCCTCAATCCCTACACGACAACCCCTCTAAGTTATCAATTTGAACTTGTAACCCTAACCAGGGTCAACTCAATTCCAGTCAAAGTCAACATCCAGTTGACTTGACTCGCCTAGTTGGCCTACCAACTTGCCGAGTCCATACTCCTCCAACTTAGTACAACTCCCGACTCTACTCGTCAAGTCTAGCAAGAGCTCGACGGGTTTTCCTTCAATCATACCGTAGGGACCATCTTCAACCGACTCGTCGAGTTCATCCTTGAACTCATCGAGTTCATCTCCCTCAGATGAAAGTGTCCAGTCTATGACTCGCCGAGTTGTATGAACAACTCGTCGAGTTCATCTTCATGGGTTGGGGGATTGCCTCGGACTCGCCAAGTTTGCTCATGGACTCGCC